CTGTTCTGGACTATAACTCATCTTTCTGTAATATTTGACATTGATGACGATTTTCCTAGCTACTTTGGCACAATTTCTTCTCATTCTCCTACTCACCTTTTCACTTTTTTTCTTCTTGGGATTTTACCCTTGCTTACTTCTATACCCTTTCTGATGAATAAATACTCTGTCCCATGGCCTCAGTTCCAGGCTACTGATGAAAAAGTTCCTATGAAGATTCCTTATCTTTTTCTCCAATCCAGAAATTGTGAAGACAGCTTTACATCTTAAACTGACCAAATTCCTTCTTTTCCCCTGTCCCTCTGTTTTGCATCTATCTAGGCTGGGTGGGTTCAATCTTCAGTTCTTATAACCAAAAAGAGAAATTCTGGAACATTCAGTAGATTTTTACAGGCCTTTAATACTGAATCAGGGGACAGACCAGCTTTATCTCAGTATTTCTCTGGCTGTCTCATCTCCCCTGTCTCTTCAGAGTGACTCCACCTTCAAATCCCCTTGCCACAGATCTCTGCATTTACATATGCACACATCCCATTCTCTCTGGGCCCAAATGTCCATAATTACAGGTGCTGGCCTTAAGACTGATATCAGGAGAGCTGAAAAAGCTGATTTTAACTCATTTTCTCTACATCCTTTAAGTTGCCTGTTTTATTGAGGGATACCATCATTCACTGTGCAAGAAACTTAGAACCCTTACTTCCTCCTCTCCCCCACAAAATTAGTAATTGATATTCTATTTTCCATACAAGTTTTAAATCCATGTCTTCTCCCTACCTCCTATCACCTTCCCTTACCCCTCCCCTGCCAGCCGCCCAACCCCCAGTTCAGGAATCACCAACTTCATCTGGAGAACGCTTCTGGTCTTGCCTTTTTACAACTCATCCTTCAGTTTTACAGAAGAGATTTTCTAATCACTTCCTTTTCCTGACCATCATGCTTGCAAAGTTCCTGTACTGAAGCCTTCAGCTGTGTACTTCCCAACTCACATCATTCATACTTGGTCATTCCAAATGAAGACAATTCAGAAAAAAGTTGCCTGCGTCTTTGTATCTTCATTAGATTGTCAGTTTTATGAGGACGACTGCATGTCTCCTTAGTGGAAATTGGAACTCCAACACCTAGCACCATGATTGATGCATAGCAGGTGCTCAATAAACATTTGTTAAATGAATTAATTAGCCTCGAAGTAAATTAGAACCAGCCTTCCTTGCCACCCAGGTCCAGATGCCTTATCTGCATCTGTACCTTCTTCACTAGTCAAGCTCCCTTAACTGAAACAACGATTACTTTTCCACAAAGGAGACAAAACTTTGTTGCAGACAAAGCAACCTATATATCCCAAAGGAAGAGAAACTTTCCAAAGGTTCTGAGAATTAGCATATGGTAATTGTCAAATCCCAGGGTATCTTTTAATTGAAACTTCACAGTAGTTGACTTAGTTTGAACTCACTGCTTAAATTGAGTAGAACCTCATTACAGAGGTTGTGTCATGCCTTAGTGAAAATGAAGAGAATGAGGAATACAGCTTTCTATGACGAGGAGACATAGGAGGAAGGAAGTGACCTGGACTGTGGGCTCTTCAATTTGTGTGTCTGACTCTCCTGACTCCTACTACTGGATACTGGAGAAGACAGAAACCAGACATCAAAGGAGCTCAGGATTTTCCTACTAAATGCCATTTTGGATTTGTACTCTACAAGGATCTATCTTATGCTTCCCTGCTTTCCTCTCCTGTGCTGCTGCTGCTTCAATGGCCAGACTCAGGAGCAATCTCTTTTTAAAGAGTTTTCCACCTCACAAGCAAATCTTTCTGAGGGGACATGTGACTGCCAAGTTCAGTCTGCCAATAATTTCCTGGGCTTTCAGTAGGGAAAATGCAATGGCTCAGGTGTATTTTTTTTACCTTCTCCCTTCTAGCCTCTGTAGCTACCACCTTTGGCCTTGTTTCTTCACCCAGTTTTCCTTGAGGGAACATGTTGTTATAAAAGGGTGCTTCAAGGTATGAGCATGGGGCACATGCTCCCATTATTGTGGACATCCATGTAGAAAGAGAACCGAAATCATTACCTGTGGGGGAGAAAGAGGAGCCAGAGAGTGATGCTACCTGCCTACCAGCCTCCTCCTCATCCTCATGCCCACCTCCCTGCTGCTGGTCTATTTGTGTGTCCCATTCCCTGCTTCAGTATTAAATGCATGTCAAATCTGTCATACTCCAAGAGTCCTTTATCCATTTCCCATATCCACAATGAACCTGCCTGGATGGGACTGGTTACCAGGTCACGTCTTTCTCTGAAATTGCACATTTGCTCACTCTGTCCTAAGCACTCTGAACAACTCCCTCCCAGGAATGTGACTGCAGAAAGGCAAGGAAGGTGCCCAAGAGGCACAGTTTAAGAAGTTGTCCACTCTCAAAAGCCAAGCCCACACTTAGATAATTGTGTCTCGCTTGGCTCACCCTTTTCCTGTTCTAACTACCTGGAAGGCTGGTCTCCCCCCACAACTGCCTTGCCTCCTGCCTCTCTAAATCCTAATCCTGAAGACACAGCCCAGATGCTGCCACATCCTTAAAGATCTTGCTGACTCCTACAGTCTCTCCTACAGCCGGCAAGCATCTCACCTTTCTTCAAATTCTCAGGAGACCTTATTTATACCTCTACAGATGTCTTTTCTAAGAATACTTCTTTCTATTTATTAGTATTCACATGCATTGTAAAGAGGTTAAGTATCAAATATTTGTTTTTAATAGCCATTTGTAATGAGCTTCATAATTTTATGAGTAAATGCACTGAATTGTTTTTTGAAACTGATTTTTTTTGTAAATGTAATATTGCATTTAACATTATGTTTCAGGTATGCAGCATTGAAAAGCAATGTGTTTATACTATGTTGATGTAACATTGAGCTTAACATATTTCAGGTGTGTAGTACTGAAAAAGTAATGTGTTTATGCTATGTTAAATGTACCACAAAAGTCTAATTCTATTCTTCTTCATACAGTTGTTCCCCTTGCCCAAAGTTACCCATCTCTCTTTGCCTTTCCCCTTCCATTCTGGTAACCACTAAAGTTATAGTCTAAAAGTTAATTTTTTAAAACTACAAACTTCCTTTTATGTATATATATTTACATTATTGTTCATTTTTTAACAATGATTGTTTTCTTATCTCAGGTGTAGTCCCTATAGAAGTCCCACCACCAAGTCACCCATGCACCATCACCACAGTCCCTTGTGCTCTTCCCTCCCCAGCAGAACAACTCTCATTTATAGATGCCTGTTCATTTTTGTTTTGTTTTGTTGCATTTTTTATTGTTATTCTTTTCCCTGATGTCTCATTTGGTTCCCCTGTATTCCACCATCAGATATTTTTCTTTTTCCTTCTGACTTATTTCACTGCACATTATTCCTTCTAGCTCTACCCCTGTTGCTATGAATGACATTAGTGCAACTACAGATTTCTTAAGGGCAGTCTTTTTTCTGTGTGCTCACAATATTTAGCACAGGATTTTGTACACAGTAGATAATCATAGTGAAGTGAAGCAATTAAGGAGAGAAGAAAGAAGAACGTAAGTGTTAATTGACTGAGGTTGGTCAGATGAGGGGTAGACAGGGCTCTGCTGTCTGTCTTGGCGTGGCTTCTGGCTCAAGATATATATCATGTGTCTGTGCCTCCACTTCTTTACCATTACGTGGGATCAATAATGGGACTCCAAAATAGGACTCTGTGTTGTGAAGCCTAAGTGAGTTAAAATATTTAAAGTACTTAACACAAGATACCTCAGGAAAGCCGGGATCCAGAAAAGGGTATAGTGAAGGCATATAGTGAAGGCACGTGCATGAAAAATGCAGCATTGAGAGCCAACTATACCCACAACCAAGGTCATAAATGAAGGAAAATCTAAGCCATCAGTGATAGAAGAGGGAAGGCAACATTCCAAGTACCTAGGTGCTTGCTTTGTAAGGGGAAAGGGCAATCCCTGTGATTCAATAGAATAAATTGGGTAAGAAAATGGTAAAGGGTGCTACCCAAAAGGTCAGTAGAAGAGACCCAAATGAGCTAGTGGGTGCTAAAATGAGTTTTTAAATATGTCTTCTTTTACTACCTACTGATTTTAAGGATATGAAAATATAAGGCTAAGGAAAAGTCTTGTTTTTGCTGCCATCTACAGTCAAAGCAATTTTTAAAGTTTTTAACCCTTATCCACCCGGAAAGGACATTCTTCACAAAATGAGTGGCAATATAAAGTTTGGCCTAAGTTCTCATAATGGAGATAAAATCAACCTATTATCATTTAACTTACTTTCTGAAAGTAGTGTACATTTAATCATATAGCCTAATTTTAACAGCTCAAGCTGTTTTCATCAAAAAACTGCAATAGTAGCTCATGTAAGAGTGATACTCCTATGTCCACTTGCAAAAGCTGAAGCTGTGGCTACTGACAGAAAGTTTGAGAGTTAACACGATGATTTCAATGAGGAAAAAAGTGGGTTGGATTTTCCTGCCCTCTGATCTGCAGTTTGTGGGTGTATCATACAAAGCTCCTTTCAAGTTAGACAAGACGCTTGATTGCCCTTGGGCAGTAGATATACATCCAGAGATATGACCTGGAGGACATGAGCAGCTGGCGACTGTGTGCCTTGCACCGCTGGGACTGATCAGCGAACATCTTGTTAATAAGTTTGGAGCCATGGTTAGGAGTTGGGAGTATATCATCTCACTCACCCTCCGTCAAGCCCTAAATCCAGTGTCCAGTCTAACCCACCCTCCTCTGTCAGTAAAAAGTCCAGGATCTTGCTCTTAAGCAGCATCCTGCATCCTACAGCTGCTCAGTGACTCCTGTTTCTTTTTCTTATCACAACGGTGTTTCACTAGCTTTGTTGTCAGTTACTGGATTTTGTGGAAGAGATATCACCTCTGAAATGCCTTCTGGCTTACGCTCCCATCCATAGAATCACCACAGTTCAGCTGATGGTGTCCTAATTTCCCTTGCATTATTTTTAAAGGGTTAAATATAGGCAAGGATTGTTGGAAAAGCGTTTGATGGAGAAAAAAGAAGTGGCCCTTCAAGAAGCACATGAAGAAGAAGAGAGAGAGAGGCGCCTAGAAGCCCTGAGGAAACAGGTGTTTTTAATTTGGTAATTTTCATGGGTGGTTTCATGTCCTCTTAAATAATATTAGTAAGACTTAGTTCATGGCACCTGCAATATAAAATGTAACTTTTCCAAATTGGGATAGGGATCTTCATCCCTAGGAGCAATTAGATCTATGTTGAACCATTTCCAGTTCTCAGTATATGAAATGAACTTTATCAGCACCTTTTAAAAAGCTCTCCCAAGATTTAAATGCACTTACATTACCTCTAGTTTATTAGGTTATTAGTATCCACTTACAGCAGTGAAACTAAGCATCTTGCCAAAAGGATTTTACTCTTTTTAAATGACCTAGTGAAACTCGAGCAAGATAATCCTCTTTGGGATAGGAGCTTATGTTTAAAACTGTATCATAGACAATCATCTTGCACTTAAAAAATACTATTTTTGTGGAGAAATGCAAACTTGCTAGGCAGAAGTAATTGAAAGAAGACAGTGGATGGCAAGAGCAGGAATTTAAGAAGTTGGAAAATATTGTAAATTAGTTTTACTTGTTAATTTCTCAGAGTTTCTGACCTGTAAATGATTCCCAAATTCAGAAGCTCTAAAGTCTTCCTTGGCACCTTCTCCAAACTGAAAGGAAGTAACTGTCTGGTTTCCCTTCTATGTCAGCATTCAAACTTGGCTTCTGCTCTTCAAATCTGGAAAACGTAGTTGGTTACTTACTGGCAGAGGAAATGTAGATCTTTTACTTCATATCCTAAATTTCCTCTGCTGAAAAACAGGAATAACAGTAATATATACCTCATAGATTAGTAGTAAAGTATGATCACACTTATTCAGTATTTAACAACTGTAAAACCCTGCTCTAAATGTTCTTTGGTTTTAGTCCATGTCATCTGCACAACAGTCCTATATTGCAAATATTATTAATTTTTGTATTTTATAGAAGAGGAAACTGAGAAGTCACAGATGTTAGGGGCTTCACCAGAGTCACACAGCAAGTAAATGTCAGACTAGATTCAAACCAAGAAAGTCGAGTTAAATGAGACTACTATAAATGAAGTGTAAATGTATATGACTACTATACCATTTTTCCCCCTAAAACAAATTGCAGGAATAAATTTAAAAAAGAAATGTAAGTCCTGTCATGCTAGATTCAGTAAACTTTATCCAATTATTAGCAAATAATTATATAACAAGGACTTCTAGGGACAAAACATTGTTACTATTACTCAACCCATTATTCAAAATATAATGCTGATAACTAGAGTCTGTATGATTAGAATTTTTTCCAACTACAAACCCTTTGAGAAAGGAAATATCTGTGCCCATTATTTATAACCAGTGTTTAGAACTACAGAGTAAGGCATTTGAGCTAGAAGACCTATAATAATTATAGTATGCTGAACACCCAGTTATCTCATTAGTTTCTAAACAACATCAAAAATGTCATTTTCTTAATGCTAATTCTTGACTTTAGGAATTAGCAAGCAGGTGTTACTAATGGTGCATATCATTTACAGAATTAGTGGCTTCTTTTCATTAAGATGCAGGTTTGAGTGATTTCAATTATCATAAAGGACAAGGGTATTTGGGTTAAAATGATTCTGCACTTTTTCAGTGAAAGGGGCAAAATGGTTTAGAACATTCCCTGGAAACCAGTTTGTCTTGTGCAGTGGAAATTCACCTCTCTTGCCCAGTAATTCCAATACACTTGACTTTCTCCATGAACCACATATTTTCGATGCATCTTGCTCAGATTAAATTTTCTAGACTTCCTAGAAGACCACAATCATAGATACTTGGAGTTAGAAAATAGCTTTCTACTAACAGCTTTCTACTTTCTGTTACCTTCAGATAGGTTGAGTTTGTAGGTTATCTAGCTAAGTTTTCCTATCATTTTGTATAATAAGATAGAGGCTTTTTAAATCTAAAATTAGTCATAACTAATTATAAAATCTTGAGTAATTCTATACCTTAGCCATTTAATATGTTTTGTTACTAAGTCACTTACTACTCCATATATCTTTAGAACTGGCATGCTCTGATCATTTTTCTACCCTTTCCTCTTAGTTTTTATTTTTAATAAATTATCTAAACTTTAATGGACATTAAACATTAATGTGGTTGCACAGAAGTATTTACCATGTATCCTCTTCCAAATAGCCATGCTTTCTCTTCTAGGTTGCTATTGTTGCTCAATTTGATCCTGTTAGAATGATGTCAGGTACGATGGCTTCGAAAGCAAGGATGGGGATTGGAATTGAAATTGAAGAAGAATTTATTCTTCAAAAGCCACTCTTCACATTGAATACATACAATGAACAGCAGGTAACTATGAAAATTAGCATGATTGATGCAAAAGTCATGATGATGACAGGAAGAACTGTAGAAATGTGTGTTTGGGGTTACAAATTATTTTCAATATTTACATTTGAATACCATGCATATTAGCATAATTTTACTTCTAAGTGCTAGTACATAATTACTGCACAAGTCTTAATATTATAAAGTAGTTGATTGGTGGCCTTAGAAAAAAATTATCTGAAAATGTTAGTTACTCTAATTAAAAATCATTTTAAATTTTTTAAAAATTATAAAATTTATTTTTAAATGCTGTGTAATTATTGTATTTTGTTATTTAAATATTTCTCTACCCTATTAAAATTTGTTTAAATGCCTAACATAAATTCTATTAAAGAAGCAAGTGATGATGCTGACAAGACAGAGAAAGGGAAGCTTTCAGGAATTAAAATAACAGAAGTAATACATAAGAACTCCTAGTCACTTTCCCTGCCTCCATCTTTTATCCTGAACTTACAATCAGATTCACCGTATGCAATAAAAATGATTATATTACTTTCATGTTGAAAATAGGAACAAACACAAAGGCAACTTCAGTAGCTCCCATTGCCATCATCTTCAAGCCTTTAAAACTCAAGTCCAGGGCCCTTCCTGGTGGTGCAGTAGGTTAAAGCTCAGCGCTGAGAAGCTAAAGCCACTTCAGCATGAGTCAATCCCCACCCTGGAGGTGATTCATATGGCATAGCAGACCTCTCCTGACCTGTCTGCTGCAGTGTACTTTGTTGATCTACCTGTTCTGCTCCCCACTCTGTCCTTGGTGAATCCTCTCACCACCCCTGCACCTCTGGCCTGTACCCCAGCTCTGTATGCATAATTAAATAAATCTTTAAAAAAAAAATTCAAGTCCAGTCTTTTAAGTGTGCTTTGCCAATGTTCCCCAATAGAACCCAATGCTTTTTTTTTTTTTTTAAGATTTATTTATTTGTTCATACAGAACTGGGGTACAGGCCAGAGGCTCAGAAGCGGCGAGAGGCTTCACCAGAGACAGAGTGGGGAGCAGAACAGGCAGATCGCAGCGGGCGGGTCAGGAGAGGTCTGCCGCACCATGTGGTCAGCCCGGGGGCAGGCGGGAATCGAACTCATGTGGAAGTGGCGTTAGTTTCTCAGTGTTGTGCTTTAACCCGCCGGGCGCCACCAAGGAGGGCCAGAACCCAATGCTTTACCTAAACTACCCTGATGTCATACTGACCGATTTCATATCTATATTCACCTCTATGTTTGTAGGTGCCTTCCTTTTTGTTTGATCTGTCATCCTTTCCTCTCTGTTTAGAGCAGTGAGTTGAATTTTAGTTAGCCCAAATGTTCCTCCTTTCCTGAGATCAACCTAGTCTCACCTGCACCAGGACATGTATCTCCTTGCTTTACTACTTTTCAAACATCTGCATGTGTTACCACAAACTGTAGTTATCTATATGCGTTCTTCTTACCCTTATTGGTTTAAGAGCTCCTTGAAGGAGGACCCTCATTCAACAGCTGATTATCCCTTCCTCTAGAGGGTCTTCAAGTCCATGGGTAATGCTTTATTAGCTAAAATCCACATGTGACTACCTTCTTATCACTGCAGAGAGCTTCTGAAGACATTTGATATTCATAGGATGAGAAATAAGGTCCAATCAGCTATAAATGAAAACAGAATTGGACTACTCATGTCTCTTCCCACTTAGAATCAGATTGATGGAAGTATTTTCTAGATCTGCTTGAAATAGAAATCTGGCCTTGAAAGAAACATTCTATTGATTGTGTTTTTCTAGTAGTGGCCATGTGTTGAAGCTTAATTTGCATATTGCTAGATGATAGAGAAATGAAATATCTGCTTAAAGTCACATATACAAGGTTGTAGTTTAGACTCATGTTCTCTTGATCAATGATTGTCTATATTTTACAATTCCAGGTATTGGTAATAAATCTGTGATAGCACTGAAATTTCTTTCAGTCCATCCTTTAATGATTTTAAAGTGTTATAATTTGTCCAAGCTAGTATACAGCCTATATTGGAAACCAGTGATAAATTGAAAAGTGGTAATGTCCAAAAGTTTGGATGTTTTTAGCAAAAATAACCAAATTATATACAAAGTTTACTGTCATCTAATCATATGAGAGAGCAAAAGCAAGTTATGCAGCTTGGGAAAATATGGGAATTTAAAATTTCTTTAGTTCGTTGAAGTGCTATTTGCTTAAATTGTATTTTATTTTTACAGATAATTTCTGACCCTAGACTTCGTTTTGAATTAGCACTTCGAGACGTTGGACTTCATAAAACATTTTATGCCAGAGAGATATTACCAAAAATCAGTCCACAAAAACCTCCAAGAAAGGACATGGAATCTACTGTATTTAAAATCTAGAGTTCAGCCTTAAATCCTATTATATGTAAACAAGATTTTTTTCCTTGAATTCATTTATATGGATAGCAATGATTACTACTTTTACTTTGAAAAAATATATATACACACCAGACATAAAAATCATAGCATATATAAAAACAACTCTGCCTTTCTTTTTTGTTTTAGAACTGTATGCGCTATTTCCTATATCTTTTTATGTTTAATAGCGCTAAATTCGCTGACTGTAGAACTCCATTATGATACAAATGGTACTTTTTTTTAAGTAAATTATATTGTGGACGTTGTGTTGTTCCATGAAAAGAACTCAAAAATAGTCATTGAGAGAATTATAATTTATGTTGCTGCTACCTGCTCACATTCATTTCAGAATTTGACTTCTTAATTATGGAAGCTTCATTATCATTAATACTTCTATTATTTCTTGATTGTTATAAGAAGAGACTCAACCTTTTTCTAAATTTAGAAACCAATTTAGTATACCATGTTTACTGCAAACCAATCATCCAAACAATTTCATTTTGCAAATTAGCTTGTAAGAATAAATTAGAAATTAGAAATAGCGTTTCCAGTATGGGGATATCTGTTTTAGCTTGGAAAAATGTTTGTGTAGTTGCTTAGAGGGAGTATTTTTAAATTTATAATATCTAGAATGCTATCTAAAGGTGCTTTCAACAATTGCAAATTTTTCTGTTAAACTATCTCAATTATTTTATAAATAACTTCAAATAAAACTGAAATACATATTTTTCCTATTTTTAAAACATTATTTATCAGAATGGCAGGTCATTGTTATTGACAGTTCTTATTATTACTATTAAATTGTACCCCCACCTTTTTCACCCTCCTGCCCCAAGAGAAAATGCTGTAGTGGGTGGAATAACTAATCAATTACCTGTGAAAATTAAAAGGAGGCCAGGCAGCACCTGCTGTGGGGGCGGATGGGGCTGAGGAGCAGGGTTTTGTGGGTACCAGCTGCTCTACCTCTTAGCATTTTGGGAGCAGTTTTGGGAGCCCTGACAAAGAAAATGGGAGCCAGAGGTTCTGACTGACCGGCAGCCTGGTGAAGCTCCTAGGAGCCCTAGGAGCCAGCCATTTTGCTAAAATGCATGAGTGTGGCCCTTTTTTGGGTCTTCTGGTTCTACAGCTGTTGCAGTGAGTATCGCCAGTCAGGTGCTGTGCTTGGGGCATTTTGGCAGCTCAAGGAGCATCTCCAGTTGAATCTTCTGCAGTGTTTGCAAGTTGGAACCGGCCTATAGTTTGGCTGCTGCATTTCCACAGCGACAGGAAGATGCCATCTCAGACATGTGGCTTATTGTTGGGCAGAGGAGCTTTGTGTCAGTGACAGGAAGATGCCATTGTAATGGTTTGTGCACAGGACTGGAAAATTTTGGACACTTTACTTTGGGTAAAGTATATGACCATTATTGGCCTCGATAATTCTTTGTTTTTCCCTGGTTTGTTAAATAAGTCTCTTTATTTTTCCCCAAGCCTGAGTAGTCTTGAGTGGTCTAGTGGATAAAGAACCCAGATAATAACCAGTAAACTATTTGGATGGTGTCTTTGGCTAGTTTAGTGTCCCTTGCTGCCCTGTATCATAACAACATCACACAATGATGACACAGTGTGCATCATGAAAAGCCTGGACTTACCTGGTAAGGTTGAAAGTGTTCATACACTTTGGCCTAGATATAAGCCCTTGAGTCACCTCTGCACATACGTATGAAAATACAGACTAGGATCTCCAAATGAAAATAAGCCAAATAGAATAGACATCAAAATCGTGATGTCTCCAAAGTGGAATTGCATAGTGATGAAAGTGAAATTTAGTAGAAACAGCCAGATACAAGAATATATGTACTGTGTTACATTTAGTTTACTTAAAGTAAAAATCCAAGTGAAACCTACACTGTTTAGAAATGGTGAAATGAGAAGAAAGCAAGAAAATGATGAACACAAAATTACCAAAGTAGTAATTACCTCTCAGGGATAGGGAGGTAGATAGTTTGGGGGCTTCCAAGTTACTGAAAATGTTTGATTGTATAACCAAGGTAGTACTTACAAGATGTTTCTACTTATAGTATACATTGTATTATATGTATAATTATATGTCAATTTTCTAAATTCCTAGTAAACTGAAAAAAAAATAACTTTATGAAAGCAAATTTATTTAAAGTTTAATTTTTTAGTATATGACTATATTGGAAACAAAAATTTTACCCCTTCTCTGATTAAATAGCCCTAATTCACAGTAATTTCTGAGATGGCTGTCCAGGTTCTACATAGGGGGTTCATATTTACCTTGATATGGTATAGGGTCCTCTTAATCACTTCTCCCCCACCTCTTGTCTCTTCTTCACTTAGGGTGTCAATAATCTAGTTTTCCGGCAGAAAAAAGTAGAATAAGATGTTGATAAGAATGAACATGAAATTTGATTCCACTTATCCATGTGTGTAAGTATAGTGGTTCACAGCAACAACAAAAATTATTGAGTAATGATCAAAAATAATTGGAAACCACTTCCCTCAATCCCATTTTTAATAAAAGATATAATCTTATTCTGCTTCACAGTTTGAGGATGACAGACATGTCTCAGACTAAATGAGAAGAATGGAATCCATGTGTAAGAACTCCCTTACACCCCCACCACCAAATCCACAAATAAACCAAGTCTGCATTTACTTTTGCTCCCTCTAATGAAGGACACAACACTCCCTCTAACAAACACCAATCCTTTCATGTGTCTTTGGCTTTCATCACCTCTCAGCTTGATAAGAATGTCTCTTTTGGGAATTGCTTTTCGTCTTCTAATATCTTCCAGGTTTCCCCCAACCATACAATGTGCACTATCAAGTAAAGTCTACTTAAAATCTCCCTGAACTCCATATAGTCCTCTCACTTCTGCTGCTCTTCTCCAACAAACTTCTTAAAATAGTTGCCTGTAGATCTATCTGACGTTGTCCCTTTTCTCTTTCAGTTACTATCATTCTGATATACTTTATTGTCACTCTCCATTGGCATTCTAGCAAGATCACAAGTGAACTCCATATTGGCAAACTTAATAACCTTTGTCAGAGTTACTGACTTCATGGAAGATTTTTTTTAAAGACTTATTTATGTATATAGAATTGAGGTACAGGCCAGAGTAGGGAGCAGAACAGGCAGATCAGTGAAGTACACTGCTGAGGGGAGCAGTGGGTGAGATAGGAGAGGGCTGCAGCACCTTGTGGATCACCTTGGGGGGCCGGGGATGGAACTCGCACTGAAGCAGCTGTAGCCAGCTTGCAGTACTTGTGGCCAGCTTGCAGTGTCCTAACCTTTTATGCCACCAGGGAGGGCCAATCATGGCAGAATTTAACTCAGTTGACAATTACACCATTTAGAACATACTTTTGGCTTCTATGACACCAACCTGTTTTACCACCTGCCTCTTTAATTACTCTTTGACTGTCTTTGATTACTCCGGTTTTTCTGTATCTCTCTGTGTCCATAGTTAGACTTTTACCATTCTCTTTACTATTGAATTGTCCAAGGGAATATATTTATAAACACTGTATATTTGTTTATACTATTTAAAAAATATATATTAACACATTTATGCATATAGAACTGGGGTAAAGCCAGAGGTGCAGGGGTGGTGAAAGTCTTCACCAGAGACAGAGTGGGGAATAGAACAGGCAGATCAACGAAGTACACTGCTGAGGGGAGCAGCAGGCGAGACAGGGGCGGTCTGCCGCACCAGGTGGACCACCTGCGGGACCAGGGATCCAACTCGTCCTGAAGCGGCTGCGGCCAGCTTGCAGTGCTATGTCCTAACCTGTTGCCCACCAGGGAGGGCCCTATACTTTTAAATAATGTCTTTTTGGCTACAGGCCACCCATTTGTCCTTTATTTTTTCCTTGAAATTCATTTGTTGAAGAAAACAAATTCACAAGTAGAATTTCCTGTAAGTCTGGATCCTCTTAGTGTAATTTTATGGTCCTCTGTCCTTTACCCCCTGTTATTTGTGTTTCCTATCAACTGGTATTTGAATTAGAGACCTTGTCAGATGTCAGAATTAGGTTTCCATATTCTCCCAAGACCACTTAACTGTGATGGCAAGCTGTACCACCAGATATATATATACATTATCATTTGATCTTTTTTTTTAATCCTTTTTATATATATTTATTTTTTTATTTTATCATTAGTTCTCACTGCCTGCAACAATTATTTAATTTTGAGCTATATTATAGGCTGCTGTAATTCAGTAAAACTCCAACCTTTATTACCTAAAAATCTTATATAAAGAAAAATTTCCTTTTTCTGATACATAGTAGCATAAGAATAAGCTAATATTTTGAGTCCTTTTTGTTTTATTATCAATAGTTTTGAAAATGAGTTGTTTTTCCAACATCCTCCAAAACTGATGTTTTATACATTTATAAAATTATGAATTTAAACATATTTGTTTCTCTCAGTGGGAATGTAGTATAATTATTGCTGCTCAAACTTCTGCTTTCTATCCAAAAACAAGCCTATTTTGTTTGATTTGTGGGGGCTCCTTTAACACCACATGATACACCTGCTAATTTCCTTATTAATCCAGCTGTTTATTGCTTTTTTAAAATCTAGGGACTCAAATATATATATTTATTTATATTTCTCATTGTTTTCTGAATTTACTAGGCTCTGACATCTCTTTCTTAAAGTCTGTATGATTTTTATGTGACTGCTGTAACTAATAGCCACAAACTTAATGCCTTTAAATAATATAAATTTATTATCCTATTGTTCTGTAGGTTAGAAGTTTGAGTTGGGTCTTATTGTGCTGAAATCAAGAAGACAGGGCAGCATTCACATATAAAAAACTCCAGGGAAAAATCTGCTTCTTGCTTTATTCAGCTTCTAGAAGCTGCCAGCATCCCTTGATGCAGCACTTCCCACCCCTTTGTCTTCAAAACCAGCAATGGTAGGTCTGCTTCTTCTCACAATGCATTATTCCATACTGTGTTTATGCTTCCTTCTTCCTCTGTTAAGAATGCTGGGGATTACATTGGATCCACACTAACATCCAGGATAATCTCCCTATTTTAAGGTCAGTTGATTAGCAATTTAATTCTCATTTGCCATGTAGTTCCCAGGCTCTGGGAACTAGGGAAATGGGCCTTTGGAAGGTCAT